CTAGTAGTAAGGCCAGGAGCCCCTAGTAGCCTCTTGCTCCTAGTAGTGAGGCCAGGAACCCCTAGTAGCCTCTTGCTACTAGTAGGGATGCCAGGAGCCCCTAGTAGCCTCTTGCTCCTAGTAGTAAGGCCAGGAGCCCCTAGTAGCCTCTTGCTACTAGTAGTAAGGCCAGGAGCCCCTAGTAGCCTCTTGCTACTTCTTGTTACTAGTAGCGATGCCAGGGTCCTCTTGTTCCCAAGTGAGGGTTAACATTTATGTCAGCTGCGGTCGTCCTGGTCCTCGTCCTCCTCGTCCTCATAGTCCTTCACCTCCTGCTCCTTCGTCTCCTCCTCGCAGTGTTCCCCGCCGGACCTCAACTGCGAGGGTCGTGTGTTCCCCGCCGGACCTCAACCGCGAGTGTCATGGTGGGGATCACTCGAAGTAAAATCGCTTACAGCCCACTCCCCTCCCAAGAGTGATGGCCTCCAACCTACTAGCAAAAGAAACTTAATAGAGATGGCCTCCAACCTACTAGCGATGGCCTCCAACCTAAGAGCAGTGGCCTCCACCCTAAGAGCGATGGCCTCCAACCTAATAGCAATGAGCAACGCCTCCAGGAATGGGATTGAATGTTCAATGAGCTAGGCTTGGTGAAAAGGTTTCTTTGTGACAAAAGTCCTTATCAAGCCTCACCCTGTCTCACGTTTCCCACCTTCCTTTAATCGAATTGATAATCTCTCAGTTTGCTTGTGAGCGCAGCGCCAAGGTCACAGAGTTGGAGCATCTCTTGAATCGGGTCTTCTTAGGCTTCGATGGCAGACCTTCGGGCCTTGAGGCCATTTTCTCGCCACCCGCCAAGAGAAGAGTTCGTTTTCAATCTAATAGCGATGGCCTCCAACCTAGTTGATCCTCCTTGACTCTGAAAGAGATGTGAAGAGCTTGATTTCAAGAACCGCTTCGTTTTTTTAACACTTATTGTCCATGCACGCGGAGCATTTCCACCAAGGAGCTCGCTGCCAGCCCCTTGGCACCAGAAAATGGGTTCCATTGGGACAGGGGGCATGGTGATCGGTTTGATGATGTTGATCGGTTGATCGTGTCGTGCACGGGGGTGCCTAGATGTGCCTAGTGCTGCCAGGATCTCCAGCGTGCCCTGGGCGAGGCTGAGGTGTGCATGGCACGTGCCAAGCAGGTTACTGTCGAGGCGATCCTGGACATCTGGACATCGGGGAGAAGGGGAGACGGGTGGGGAGACGCTACTAGGGGCTCCTGCCATCGCTACTAGGAGCAAGTGCCTTAGTAGTAGTAACAATAAGCATTTAATTAGAATTGTAATTACTAGCTTCTTGTAACTACCAGTAAGGCACTTGTAATTACTAGCAAAGGAATCTACTAGGACCTTTTCGCGCGCGCGCGCGTGCGCGCGGGGGGGGGTACTAGGAGCAAGGACGCTCCTAGGAGCAAAGGGCATCGCTACTAGGAGCAATGTTCGCTACTAGGGGCTCTATTTGTTGGCGACACATCCCACTAGCACTCGATAGAGGCCATCGCTGAGGTTGGAGGCCATCGCTAGTAGGTTGCACTCGATGGAGCTTGATCCAGTCCTTTGTCCTTTCCTTTCGATTCGGATATGCTTATATAGCACAAAAAAGTGCTCAAGTTGACCGCCTTGACGCCCTTGACTTCTTGCTGTTTGTGGAAGGCCGACCCCAAGCAGCGGATCATGGCTGGACCTCACACGCCCTTCCGCATCGAGTGCCATGACACAGCTGGTGTGGGGCCGGGCCGAGGGAGCTTGAGATGTCTAGTACTTGACTTAAGAAGTACTTTGAATATGAAAAAGTCAAAGAATAAACGTCTAAATGAACAGAAACATGTGAGATGTGAATAATGCTGAAAGGTTTAGGTATGCTTGGGTTCACCGACAAGTAGGAAACGTCACACGAAGGCTATCGTGATACCAGTTTGTCCTTCAGCTAAGCCACAAATGTAACAAGAAACGTGGAGGTCGGTCCGTTCCGCGACTGAAACGACTTAGCTGATGCAGACCGTCGGTCGAGAGTGCCGAGGCTTTACCGGCAAGCCTTGGACATCCTACATGGCGAGGGGAGAATCGAGATGAATCCGATCTGTCAAAACTGAAACAGAACAATCTTTTAAAGAATGACTCACTTGTTCCAGATCCAGTCATGAACAACCTCTGACTTGCAAAGGAGCTTAACTTAGCACGGCCTAGCTCATGCCCCTTTGAGTGACTGGGAGGCTGTATGACATGCCTTAACCTCGTGATCATCAGTGAGAAGATCTGGGTCGTGCTTCTTAGACAGCAGTGAGCACTTGACCAAGTCAAGCAAAAAAGGCATTGGTCTGAAGCGCTGGTTATAACCAGTGTCTTCAACAAGTTTTGTTCAAAAAACTGGTCCAGTTCAAGTCTTATAAGACAATTTCCTCTTCTCCTTGTCTCCTTGCCACCAGAGTGGCTTGGAACGTCCTTCTGGATGAACCCTACGTCTTCAGATTGCGAAACAGTCGAAGTAGAGGTGGAGCAAGCTAAGTTCCAACACAAAAGATGCCTCAGGTCCTCATCTAATTCTTGCAACGCAGTTGAACTCATCGTTCGTCTTCTATCCTTGTGCTTCTTGTTTCTTGTCCAGGAACCAAACGGTGCGGGAAGCGGACGAAGAGAATGCCGAGAACGACGACTACAGCCTGGGCGGCACACCAGTGGCCGCAGGGCAGCAGACACGGCGAATGATGGTTGTCTATGTATTCTTTTTGGTTGGGCCATTCAATCTGAGGACAAGCTGGGACTCAACTACTCCTTTCTACCACTATGAACAATTTCTTGTGGGCAAGATTTTGACTCCTTCTAGAGTCTCATCCTACTCTTCGTTCACTATATGGCAGCATGCCCTGAAACAGCCAGCAATGCACATGGACATGTCCTTGTGTAGGGTGCCATGTTGTCACGTGTTGCCATGTCTTGCTACCAAGCAGAACAAACGCCGCAAAGACAAACCTTAAAGAATCACCACCCGTGTTCACTCTTCAGACTCATCGTAATTCAGTTGTCCTTGGCTTCGTGCAAGGCCTTTTCCAACGCTGAGAACCACAGCGTTTTGAAGGCGAGGTCCTTCAAATACGTGTCTGTCGGTCTTTGTGTCGTTCGTCGTGTCGTGGTTTTGAGGGCTCTTTTGAAGCAGAGCCTCTTGAAAGGTCCATCCAAGTTCTTTTTCAGAAGGAAAAAGCAAAGGAAGAAAGAGAGGACACGTCCAAAGAGAAAAAGGCGCCTCTTTTGAAGCGGCGATTCCACAGCGTCTCTTCGAAGCTTTCACCTTGAGCCGCGCCAGATCGCAACGGAGTCCATGCCATCTTCGGTCCAGATCGATGCAGTTCAGGAGACGCCTGAGCCTCTTCAACCTAAGTAGTAGCTTGCTACTGGCAGCTTGCTCCTAGTAGTACGGCCAGGAGCCACGTTCGTAGCGTCCTTGCTCCTAGTAGCGATGCCAGGAGCCCCTAGTAGCTTCTTGTTACTAGCAAACTATATCAGACCTTTCTTCCCTTTCTGTTTTCTTTACTTCCAACCTAATATAGGTTCCTTCTATTTGCCTTTCACCGTCTTTCTCTCCACACTTTGCCCTGACTCTCCACCCCATCCCACAGTTGGATGGGAACCATGGCGACACGGCATTTGTGAAGAAAGAGCAACACGTGCCTTACTAGGAACAAGTGCCACGCTATTAGTAACAGGTGCCTTACTAGTAGTAACAAGAAGCTACTAATTACAATTCTAATTAAATTCTTATTGTTACTACTAGTAAGGCACTTGTTCCTAATAGCTTCTTGTTACTAGTAGTAAGGCACTTGTTTCTAGTAAGGGGATGGGAACCATGGCGACGTCGCTCCGTTTCGTTCGACAGGAGGAGATCCTCTCCAATGCCAGACACGTCTCGGCCAGTCTGCAGGCCATTCTGCGGCATCGGATTGAAGCGAAGCTGGAGAACCAGCCCGGGCTCCTGGCATCGCTACTAGGAGCAAGGACGCAACTAGTGTGACCCTACTACTAGTAAGGCACTTGTTACTACTAGCGTGGCACTTGTTTCTAATAGCTTTTTGTTACTACTAGCGTGGCACTTGTTTCTAATGGCTTTTTGTTACTACTAGCGTGGCACCTGTTACTACTAGCGTGGCACTAGGTAAAGAGTCCTGAAAGTTGTGAAGGTGAGGCAGTGAGGATACTGTATCATCAGCATTGGAAGGACAAATGGAATAGAGAGGATAGCCGAGGATAGCTGGTGCCACGAGATCACAATATATCTACACTTTCTTTCAAATCTGTGCGTCTCTCTCTCTCTCTCGAGATTGGGAGAGGTCCTTGTTCTTTTTGAGGTCTTGTTGTGCCCGTTTTGCACTGAGGTCTGTGGTGGAATTGAACAATATGAAGCTCGTCGACCAGCATTTCACCTTTGAAAAACTGGATAAGTGGTTGTCGCAGGCCAGCTGTATGAAGATGTTCATGCCAGATTGCTGTTCCAGCAGAGGTGAACAGGGGAGGAAAAAGGGAGCTCGAGGAGAGAGATACGAAGGGTAAAGAGACAAGAAAAAGGAAGACTAATCACAGTCACCATGTCAGTGTCATCGCTATTGCGTTGGAGGCCGCCGCTATTAGAAACAAAGAACAAAAAGGAAGCAGGTCCAATATAGTTTGCTAGTAACAAGAAGCTACTACGGGCTCCTGGCATCGCTACTAGGAGCAAGGACGCTACTAGGGGCTCCTGGCCGTACTACTAGGAGCTATACTAGGTTGGAGACCCTTCCCACAGGTTCACTATCAGACTCGGCACATCCGCACGGACAAGAACGAGCTGACCAACAACCTGCAAGCGAGGTTGGTGGTCTCTGGGCCGCACAAGGGACTGACGGAACGGCATAATGGCCTCCAACCTAGTTGCGTAGCGATGCCCTTTGCTCCTAGTAGCGTCCTTGCTCCTTTTAATTTCTCAAGAATCCAACAAGAACACAACCAACAGGCCTTGATCTTGCAGGAATGATGGAATGACCCGTGGCTACTAACAAGAGCGCTCTTAGTATTGGAGGGTGGCGTTCTTGTTATCATCTATATAAGTGGCAAACATGCTTGCTCGTGGCATCGCTACTAGGAACAAGAAAGCTACTAGGGGCTCCTGGCCCTACTACAAGGAGCAAGGATGCTACTAGAAGCAAAGGGCATCGTTACTAGGAGCATTCTTACTGCTAGTAACAAGAAGCTACTAGGAACAAGTGCATCGCTTCTAGTAATAAGTGCCTGCCTTACTAGTAGTAACAAAAAGGGTTCGTGAAAACCAAATGTTCCGGACCTTTTGGTGTCACAGTTGGTGCAGTGCTTGTTACTCGGACCTTTGAGAAGCAGTTATCGGGCTGGTTGACTTGGACTCCCCACCTTTTCCAGAAAGGAGGAGAGCACTCCGAAGATCAGCCTGCAGGATCTGGTTGCTCCTAGTAGCGTCCTTGCTCCTAGTTGAATCCTTTCTGCTGTTGTCAAAACAGAGCGTTTCACAACTCTGTTTGGGCAACCTAAAGCGACGTAAAATTGACCATGTAACAAATATCTATTACGAGAAGACATGTAGATTGGAGGCCATCGCTAGTAGGTTGGATAGGAGAAGACATGTATTTCCTTTTTATGTGTGATCATCATGTCCCCAGAGCGCGGGTCGATCAATCAGTTCTTGAGGTGGGCATGCGAGCCATAGCGCGCCTTGGAGAGTGATACAGTCTGGGTGAGTCCGTCTATGCTTTTTCTTCCAAAACCAAGGTCGAATTGCTTGTTGTAGTTCCACACCCAAAAGCTGCAGTGAGCACACTTGTTGCCATCTTGCTCTACGGATGGTCACAGGGGTTTTCCAGTTGGTTTTGACCTTCGTGAGCCATGGGGGATTCGGGGAAAGACTTTGATAGTTTTAGAATGAACTCCCTTGGCAAGCGCTGGCTTTCAAGACGTTCTTCAGAAGCTGTTTTGAATACGGAGTTTTTTTTCTCGTTATTTTTGTTTTTTATTTATTATTGTTTTCTCAGTGATTGTCTTGCTTCTCCTTGCTTCTCTGCTTTTCTTGCTTTTCCAGCTTTTCTGTGCTTGTGTTGCTTTTCCTTGCTTTTCCTTGCTTCTTTGTGAATCCTTTTCTTTCCTTGCTTTTGCCGCTTCGTTCCTTCTTTCTTGCTTGGTTTGTTTTTCCTGCTGTTTCTCCTGGCTCTTTTATCATTCCACTACCATCTGAGGCACTTGCAGGTCGAGGCACATCATCATTTTGTCTTCCGCCACCGGTTCCTTCATTTTGTTGCGTAGTGAGTCTCTTTGATCTTTGATTAGTGCCGTCGCTTTTGATCTGGTCCAATGGTGCCCTGGTCCCCTGGTCCCTTGGTTGGTCCCCTGTCCTGGTGCTACATAGGTCCTTTGGACACGTGCGTCTCCTGGCAGGCACAGCGCTTTGGCACTGCCGTCTTACTAGTAACAAGAAGCTACTAGGGGCTCCTGGCCCTACTACTAGGAGCAAGAAGCTACTAGGAACAAGTGCCACGCTAGTAGTAACAGGTGCCTTACTAGTAGTAACAAGAAGCTACGAACG